GATCAGTTTAGTTCAACTGTACTTACAGGTAGTTTCTGCTTAGATTTGAGAGTTTCTGGCGTCCTTTCTCTCTCTCAAGGCCAAACAGAACTAGAAACATTTCAGGATTTCCATTTGGTTTATTTTTTCAAACATTCAGTGTTCTCCTTAAATCCAAGAATCTGTTCACTTGAAGACGAAACATCTTCTCCAGGGCCTTGCAGAGCCTGTAAACTTCAAGCTCCTTTCAAAGGTCAATAACCCTTTGGGTGTCCAGATCAGACTGGGCCACTTGCTTCTGTGGCTGAGGAAAATATTCCTTTGTGGCCCTTCATTCCCACATTGTACTAAACCATGGTTTGTTTCTGGTTAGCCCAAGTGTGAAGCAGCCCTTGTGATGTGGTTTTATTTGTGGATATAGACCAAGATTTATGGTCAAAGGGATGCCTGCAAGCTTTTGTGCAGATCCTCTTTGAGGCCATGAGATTCTCAGTCCCTCTTAGCAGCCACAGATCCAGGCAACTTTTCTCTCTCTCTGGGATCCCTTCCTTTCCCCCCAAGAGTCTCCCCTGCAGAGGAAGAGCAGAAGGAAAGATGGAAGTGTCTCCGTCCCTCCATTTATTCTGTGACTCCCCCTTTTCTGGGTCTCCCTTGGGATCCTCTGCTGTCTTTTCCAGCTTCTCCTTTTTCCTGGGGAGGTTCAGGGGCTCCATCCTGGGGGGGAAATGCAGGGAGGGAGGTCGAGGGAGGGGAGAAGGGCGGATAGTGATGGGGGCTTTCTTTCCCTTGAACTCTAGGGAGGAAATGGGGGTGTCAGTGCCTGTGTCAAGGTCCCTGCAGGGAGGGAGGGTCTCTGTCTATCTTCAGGACTCCCCAAACCATCATCTTGTCCCTATTTCAGGCTTTCACATAATACAGAGGATGTATGGCTGTGAGCTACGGAAAGACGGGAGCAAAGCAGGGTTTTGGCAGGATGGCTACGAAGGGAAGACTTTCATCACCTTCGACAAGGAGACCCGCACTTGGGTGGCTCCCGTCCCCCAGGCCCAGATCACCCAGAGGAAATGGGATGCTCTTCCAGCACAGAATCAGTACTTTAAGTCCTACCTGGAGAAGGAATGCATTGATTGGCTGCAGAAGTACCTGTCCTACGGGAAGGAGACGCTGCTGAGGACAGGTGAGCATCTGGATCCAGGCTGGACTTTCCTCCTTGATGGCCGGATTTCTCTCACACATTCAGCCCCTTTGGGTCCCTTGTCTGGAGCCTGTTTGCCCTGGTGGGAATCCTCCTCCTCCCCTTCCAGCCCCTCTTGCAGGACACGGGAAGCCCTGTTTGGTTCCCATTGCCAGGCAGCCATTCGGTGGACCAGGAAATGCAGCCTCTGCCTGGCAGGAAAAGCCCTTCAGGGTGTCCCGTTCACTGCCCACCATGAGGGAACCATTTGGGGCTATTCAGTGAAACCCCCATTAGCCAAACTGTAGTCAAGGGTGATGGGCTCCCTTAATGTCCCCCCATGAACTCTCCTTCCCCCCACATCCCACAGGGGGCTCCCTCCCAGTCTTGCACCTGATTGGGGCACCTCCCATGGCCACCACTGTGGGGGCTCCTCTTCTGCCCTTCCTAAGACATCATCAGAGCCCCCACTTGGGCAAAGAAGCCCATGGATGAGGGGTTCCCTTTCCAGGGTGGGGGGATCCCCCATAGTTTTTGTAGGTCTTTCTCTTAAACCTCGAACAGGTTCCCTCAATTCTGACTTAGTGACTCTTTCCTCAAAACGGCCCCCTCCCCACCTTCAGGAACACCCCCTCACCCCACAGGGGGTCACATTATAACCTTTTCCTGTGATTTGTTATTAATTCACCATCTAGACCACCCCTCCCCCTCTTGGCTCTTTGATCCCTCCAGGATCAGCTGGTTGAGATTAGGATCAATGGGGGAATCCACCCCCCCCCCCCAATGCCCCAACACCCCCCCCCTCCCGGGGGGGCCCTACTGGCTGGTTTTTCATCACCTCCCTCTGCCCTCCCCCCCCCCTTTTGAGAGACAAAATCTGTTTTCCAAATAGATCAGTGAGAAATTCCAAAATCCCTGAGCCCCTTTTGGCTCTGATTCTGGCTCTCTTGCTCATAACATGGTGGTTGTGTCCCTTGGAAAGAGGCCTGGAGCAGCCTCAGATTCTGGGGAGAAGAAGAGGAACCAACAAGTAGGGAGCAACTTCTGTGTTGTTGTGGTTGTCTTGAAAGGGAACTTAAAAGACCATCTCCACTCTCCCTCCCCTGAAGGGAGCAGCCCAAGATCAGTCAGAGTTCAAAGCAGTCAGAGAGGAATTTCCTTGGACCCTCAATTTGGGAAAATCAGGAGTTCTTGTGGTTGAGCATTTTCCAGATTTGGAGCATTTCCTGAAACTCTTGGAGATGCTACAGGTGTGAAGTTTAAATTCTGGGGTTAAAATTAAGTGCTGGGAGATTTTTCTGCCCCTCCATGTTTCCCACCCCCCCTTCCAATCTCTGGAGGGGCTGAGAGTTAATTCTGGGGGTGCCCTTTCTGCAGAGCCCCCAAGGGTGACGGTGAGAAGCAAGACAGAGTTGGAGGATGGGATGGAGACGCACATCTGCCGCCTGGATGCTTTCTACCCCAGGGAGATCGATGCCTCCTGGACAAGGGACGGGGAGGTCTGGAAGGAGGAGACCTTCAGTGGGTTTCTGGCCCCCAACGCGGATGGGACCTTCCACTACTGGCTCAGCATCCGGATCGACCCCAAAGAGAGGGGCCGCTATCGGTGCCACGTGGAGCACGACGGCCTGCTGGAGCCTCTGGACCTGGCCCTGGAAGGTGAGAGGCTGCAGGGAGGGGAAGGCTGGGCTCTTTGGCAGGCTGGGAGGTGGTGGGAGAGGAATCTGGCCCCAGATGTGTCCAGGTGTGAGCAAACCTGAGCTTTCATCCATTGGTTTTTCCAGTGTTTGAAGTTGGTGCAGCTGCAGGGACCAGAGCACAGAACTGACTTCAGGGGATGGAAAGTACAGAATCCCATCACAAGAGTTGGCCGATCCTGATGAAATGCCCTCAGATCCTCTCTTAGGCCTTCCCCGTTTCTTGCCCCCAGCACCAGAAATAGATTCCCTTTTGTTCACAATTCCTAAAGTACAAGAATCAGGAGGAGTCTGGTTGCCCCTTTTCTGAAGGAAAATTCTGACTAAAATGGATGAAGTGCAGCTGACTTCAGGAAATGCAGAGTGGCTGGACTGATGCATCAGGAGTCAGAAAAGAGGCTAAGAAGTCTGAGTTTTATTTCCCACCAGAGATTAACAGGGTTTCCTGCTTTAAAGGTCAAAAGGTCACCGTGTGTTGCTTCTCTAAGAAAGAAGTTGCACCTTATTTTACGATCTGATATGTGAATTCCTGAGGCTCAGCATAAAACCCAAGGAAAAAAGCCCTCTTTCAAAGAATTCTGTATGTGCTCAGAAGTGTCCTTAACGTATACCGGACTTCCAAAGTTGCAAAATTCAAATTCAATTTTTTTATTGATGATTGTCACCAAGATACAAGAAATATTCAAATGTAATTGTTATGTTGATATCCCAGGCAAAATAAAATATTCCTTTTATTTTTGTTGTTGTTTATAGCGAGCACCAAATTCACAAGTGGAATGATTGCTATTCAATGGGAATCCTGAATTTTATGCAAGAGAAATTTAAATTTAAACTTCCCTCCTCAAACCTTCTTCCCCCCACCCCCCCAAGCAATACCAATTTATAATGCCTTGGTAAGACCATCCGTGGAATTCTTCATCCAGTTCTGGTTGCCACGATATAGAAAAGATGTTGAGACTCTGGAAAAAGTGCAGAGAAGAGCAACAAAGATGGTTAGGAGCCTGGAGGCTAAAATCTATGAAGAGCAGTTGCAGGAATTGGGCATTTCTAGTTTGATGGAAAGAAGGACTGGGGGTGACATGATACGTCCCAATATCTCAGGGGCTGCCACAAAGAAGAGGCAGTCAAGCTATCCTCCAAAGCTCCTAAGGGCAGGACAAGAAGCCATGGGTTGGAAACTAAACAAGGAGAGAAGCAACCTAGAACTGAGGAGAAATTTCCTGACAGGGAGGACAATTAATGAGAGGAATGGCTTCCCTCCAGAAGTTGTGGGGGCTCCATCACTGGAAGCATTTAAGAAGAGACTGGAGAGTCACTTGTCTGGAATGGTTTAGGGCCTCTTGTTTGAGCAGGTGGTCAGACTGGAAGACCTCCAAGGTCCCTTCCAATTCTTATTCCGTTATTCTATTTCTGCCATTTGTGGGTCCGTCCAGAAGCTGGATATCACCCTATTCCATTTTAATGCTGACGTTCTTGAAGCACAAAATACAATTTTATGCTAGTTCTGGACTAGCCAAAGAAATGAAAGTGTGTACTTAAAAAAAAAGTCTAGGTGATATGAACTATTTTACTTTAAATAATAAAATGCAAACAGAGATCTGCCCAATTCCCAAAATCTGTTTGTTTAACAAATTTTATTTATTTTATTGTGTTGGGGACGTTTTTGTTTTGTAAGCTGCTGAGAGTCACAAGGTGGCAAAGGGCTGCTTTTGAGTCGAAAAGCCAAAGATGAATCCAGCTGCCTTCATGCTGGGCTGGTGGGAGAAGAAGGCAGCGTCAGGAGGACACGTCCTCTAACAACGGTTAGCAAGGCTCCTTCATGTTACCCTGAGAGGGACACAAAAATGAGCTCATGGAGATTTTAATTTTGGGGAATTTCCAGCTTTCCCTTCTTTAGGTCTCTCTTGGGAAGATTGTTTGGGCTTCTCCTTCAATGATCTGCTCTTTCTCCCAATTCAGAACCAACCAATTCAAAATCCAACTTGGGGCTCATCATCGGCTGCGTTGTGGCTGCTCTTGTCCTGGTGGGT